GCGCTGCGCCGCCGGCCGCTGAGGGAACGCGGGGTTCGCCGCTGCTGGCCGCTTCCAGCCTTCGCCGAGAGGTACCGGGGGTGGCAGCTCCGGAACCGGCCAGAGCCCGAGTCCTCGGGGCGGAGGGGCGGCAGCGGTCCTGACAGGGGGTGTCCGCGGGAGGGCAGCCAGCGGCGGCCGGCCTCTCGGAGCCAGACGGGCGGTGTGCGGAGAGGCTGCCGCTGCGCTGCGGGACCCTTTTCTGAGGCGAGGGGCCTCCGGGGCTCACCTGGGGGTCTTCCTGCCCCGCTTGTCGGCGACAGCCCTGAGGGAGGGCGCCCGCGCTTCCTGCACCACGGCCCGGAACCGCGGCGCGGCTGGCGCGGCCTGGCGGGGGCGGGGTGGGAGCGGGTGGCCGCCGGGACTAGGGGTGGCCGCAGCTGCGGTGGCCTGGTCGCCGCGGGGCGACGCGGCTGGGCGGACGGGTCCTGCTTGTTGCCGCCGGGCTGCGAACGGGGCGCCGCTTTTTATTTCAGGAAGCGCGGGGGAGTGCGACCGCCTCGGATCCAGCCTTCCTGTTCCGTGGGACGACCGTTGGTTCTGTCCCCGGGAGGAATGGCGGGGTCAAGCTGGGGTCCCCAGGGCCGCGGGCCAGCGAAGCCCCATTAAAGCGATTGCGAAATGCTCTCCGCGCTGTCACCTGACCGTTACCCCCGCCCCCGTCCCCCGCCAGCCTTTGTTTACCACGATCGCGACACCCGGCCCGCTGCGGCCGTCCCAGGGGAGCCGGGGCGGGCGGGGGAGCGGGCGTTCCGCGGGCGCAGTCCCCGCCTCACCTCCCCACCTTCTTACCACTCCAGGCCTTGGTTTCTTAATTTAGTCCCTAATGGACCCGCCCCCATGTTCTGGACACCCGGGGCGAAGACTGTTAGCGCGGCGGGGATTGGGCACCTGCGGCTGCTTGTGGGCGGGACCCGAGAGCGAATTCGAGTTTTTATTGGCAGACGTCTTGTCACTAGGTGGGCCCGCCCGGGGCCGTTCTTCCCGCCCCCTTGAAGGTGATCTGTAGGACGCGCGCTCTCGCTGCTCTTGCATCTGCGGCCCGAGTGGAGCCCCGCGGCGCGGGTCCCGGAGGCGCGCGCTCTCGCCCCGGCTGGGGGCGGCTGGGAGCCTCGGTGGCCGCGGTGGCTGCTGCTGCCTGATCCTGCAGGCAGTTCTGGGTTCGCAGCGGTCGGCAACCGTGGCCCGCCCTCCGAGGACCGGAAAATTAACACCCTTTTTTTTGTTTTGTTTTGAGACGGAGTGTCGCTCTTGTTGTCCAAGCTGGAGTGCAATGACGCGATCTCGGCTCACTGCAACCTGCTCCTCCCGGGTTCAAGCAGTTCTCCTGCCTCAGCCTCCGGAGTAGCTGGGATTACAGGCGCGCGCCACCACGCCCGGCTAATTTTTTGGATTTTTAGTAGAGACGGGGTTTCACCACTTTAGGCAGACTGCTTGAACTCCTGAACTCAGGTGATCCACCCGCCTCGGTCTCCCAAAGTGCTGGGATTACTGGCGTGAGCCACCGAGCCCTGCCAATTAACACCCTTTAACTAGTGTGGCGTTGTCTGCCGCGGTGGTGCGCAGGAAGTCATGCGAATTCGTTGTTGCCAGTTGTGTAAACGTGTTTAGATAGCTAAATATAGACCACAGTGCCCTGTGTTACTGGGCCTCACGGTCACCCCTGAAGCAGTAACTGTTCACAGTTGATTTTAGTGGACTGTAATGATGAATCACTTGCACTTCTGGGCAGCTTTTCAAACATCAAGTCTTTGAATTTGCAGCGATAGACTGGATCCACCAGCTAAGAGGTTGGTTTTTATTAGGGTAGTAAAATACATTTAAAATCTGCCTGTCTTTGGCTGAGATTTAAAAGCAAATTTCTACTATTTAAAAAAGATAGTTTGAAGATACTCCCCTAAAAGGTAAAGATCCCTCCATACTCGTCTTGGATGAGTTATTTTCCTTGTTTGCGGGATTCTAGGTCACACACTTCTATGTTTTAATTCCCGTGGTAATTGAAAATGTTTGAGAAGTGGGATGCGACTGTGTCGTTTTAAAATTGTAAATTAAGGTGACAATAATAAAATCTTCAAGACCAATCATTTTTAGCCATAGTGTGTTGGAAATGGTTTTTCTAATCTCTTAAGAGAGTATTTGCGTTTTGTCAGATTTTCTTCTCCGGCAGATGTAGAATTCCTGCAGATGTAGGATTACCCAAGACTTGATACACTTGTTTTGTTTTGTTTTTGAGACAGGGTCTCACTCTGTCAACCCAGCTGGAGTGGAGTGGTCTCTCTCTGTCACCCAGGCCATCTCTGCTCACTGCAGTCTCCGCCTCCCAGGTTCCAGCGATTCTCCCACCTCAGTTTTCCGAGTAACTGGGATTACAGGCGCCTGCCACCATGCCTGGCTAATTGAGAAGAGGTTTCATCATGATGGCCAGGCTGGTCCCGAAAGTCCTGACCTGAGGTGATCCACCCGCCTCAGCCTCCCAAAGTGCTGGAATCAGCAAAGACTTACATTTTTGTAGAAGGAAGCTTGAGCTCCCCTGGGTGAAGCAGGAATTAAATATGAACAGTTCCTATTGGTAATGCATTCTTAATATATTTTTGAAATTCCAGCTACTGGAATGAGTAGCCCCTGTGATCAGAGGCGCTTCATTACTTGTGCATTGAGGGTATTTAATGTGTCTAAATCAAATGCGACCGTCTAACCTTTTGAAAAAATAAAACCATCACTCAGTAAGGCTTGCTTATTCAAAGAAAGCCAGCAGCTTAAGTCTCTAAACAGGAAGAAGAAATAATATTTTGACTACAAGCTTCACTTAAACTTGCCTGATGTTTGTCCAAGTTGTTAAACCTTTATGCTTCTTCAATAACTTTTTTTTTTAACTTCCTTGTTTTTCTGCCATTTCATTAAAACCTAAAGGTGAAGCCTGTGAAAAATAAATACTATTTATTAAATAAGTGACCAAAATTTTTGTCTATACTTTTCTCTAGAAATTTGGGGTACATTTTTCAATAAATATTTGGGTGTGGACTGTATAATGGAAAAATGAAAGTAAATATCCTCACAAGTATACATATAAAAAATACTTTTTTGTATGAGTTTATTTCTGGTGTGACTAAAACAACTAGAGAGTATGTAGCCACTTGACAACTGCTGACATTTAAAAGCCCCTATTCTTTCTCCTATTAAAAACACATTAAGCGCTTGCCTGTCATCCTAGCTACTTCAGAGGCTGAGACAGGAAAATTCTTGAGCCATGGAGTTTGAGACCAGACTGGGCAACATAGTGAGACCTTGTCTCAAAACACAATAAAACAATAGCTAAGCAGACTCTTTTAAATTGAAGAGTTTGGCACTCTGCCTATATTCATCCCGGAGTTAAAATTTTTCAACATTTGGCACATCTTAAAGACTACTAAACTGATGTTTTAAAAGTGGGCTTTGGCCTGACACAGAGGTTCGCATGAGTAACCCCTGCACTTTGGGAGGCCGAGGCGGGTGGATCACCTGAGGTCAGGGGTTCAAGACCAGCCTGGCCAACATGGTGAAACCCTGTCTCTACTAAAAATACAAAAATTAGCCAGATGTGTAGGCAGGTGCCTGTAATCCCAGCTACTTGGAAGCCTGAGGCAGGAGAATTGCTTGAACCCTGGAGGCAGAGGTTGCAGTGAGCCAAGATTACACCATTGCACTCCAGCCTGGGCAATAGGAACGAAACTCCGTCTCTGTCTCAAAAAAAAAAAGTGGGCTTTACTCTTTACTGAGGTTTCTAAAAGTTAATAATCAGTAAATAATTCCTGTCACCACTAAGGTAAATATAAACCACTGACTATGTGCTTTTATTCATAGAAAAGTCATGTAAAATACTAGATCTCAAATTTGTTCAAGTGCCTTGCTGGCATCCTTACAGATTTAATTTTAATTAAAAAACCAAAACCTGGCTGGACGCGGTGACTCAGGCTTGTAATCCCAGCACTTTGGGAGGCCGAGGTAGGTGGATCATGAGGTCAGGAGCTTGACACCAGCCTGGCCAACATAGTGGAACCACATATCTACTAAAAAAAAAATTACAAAAGATATTAGTTGGGTGTGGTGGCACACTCCTGTAATCCCATCTACTTGGGAGGCTGAGGCAGGAGAATCACTTGAACCCGGGAGACGCAGTTGCAGTGAGCAGAAGTTGTGTCACTGCACTCCAGCCTGGGCAACAGAGCAAGACTGCATCTCAAAAAAAAATAAAAATCGTTTAAAAAAATAAAAAACCAAAACCATTTTGCTAACAGAAAACATAGCTATATCATAACTCTATAGGTATTTTGATTGTAAAATAAAACAATGCATTAAATACCTAAAAGAAACATGTTAGCAAGATAAAACCAGACAACATTAAGTTTATATATCAAGTCTAGTCAGAAGCATGGGTAGACTCAGCGTGGCAGCTTGGTATACCAGGTGTTGTCTGATGGTTTGCAAGTTTTTTTCTTCCTTTAGGGTTGGGGATTATCAGTAGCCAGAAGTTTTAAGTCTAGGGATGGAGAAATTCAGTTTTATTTTTTTCCTGTAATTTAAAAGACAATGGTCTTCTTTTTTCGTTAAAGAATCATATTGTTTAGTCTGACACATTGTTTAAGCTCTCCTAAATTTGTCATCAACAGCTATCTGTTTTCTTTCTTTCTCATCAAGCAAAGTCATATAGTGTATCGCCCATTTGAGGTTCTAGTAAACATGGGAGAACCACTAGCTGCTATCATTCTAGCCAAAGAAACTCAAGATTTTCGTTGGTCTCTGTTATCTCTTTTTTTTGAGACAGGATCTCGAGCTGTCCACCCAGGCTGGAGTACAGTGGCGCCATCTCGGCTCACTGCAACCTCAGCCTCCAGAGCTGGGATTACAGGTGCCTACCACCACGCCTGGGTAATTATTTTGGGTTTTTAATAGAAGCCGGATTTCACTACATTGGCCAGGCTGGTCTTGAACTCCTGACCCTCATGATCTGCCTGCCTCGGCCTCCCGAAGTGCTGGGATTGCAGGTGTGAGCCACCGTGCCGAGCTGGTTTCTGTTATCTTGTGGTGCTGGGTAAATATGGTCTTGGTGGTTCCATTAAGAAATTGGAAATATTGAAAATAGCTTGAAGACTGGACTTTAAACATTTCATTGGTAAAACATGGTTCAGGAACCACTGCTGCAGAGTAATGCTTTAAACTGAAATTTCAGTAGTGCAAGTTTGTAATTTTTAAAAAGTGATCATCAAATAAATTAGCTTTTGATACTATACGGTGAAAATATCTGAAATGTATAAAAATTGCTTGGTTTTGTATAGTACCTTATTAAATATAATTTTCTGGTTATTTTAAAAATAAAATATTTATAGCAATTATTTTCTGACTTTCCTTCTTTTGAGTTACTACATATTTTTCAAGATAAACCTCTTGGTTCCCCGTTCTTGTCTGCTGTGGTCTTTCAGGGTTAAACTTGAGAAGGTGGAGGAGTGTAGAGCATAGCATGCAGCAGTTCACTACTATAGGTCGTAGGGCCTTGCCAGTCAGGATGTTGTTGGTTCCTTCATTTTCTGATATAGATTTTAGAAGCCCCTCATTAATCCATACTGTCTTTAAGGCTGTGAGTAACCTCTTCGTCTAGAATTTCTGCATTCTAGAGGAAACATAAGCTTTTTTCGGTACACTCACACTGTAGATTAATTCTGATATTACACATCTCCTTTAGCCTTTGTACCCTCTCTCTCTCATCCCTTACCCTTCCTTATCAATTAGGTGGGTAATACCTAAAAATCCATAGAAAATGCCCAGTTGAATTGCCTTATGCTTTCTACCCCATAAGGTATAATTCTAGAACAGATCGGTTATGACAGGCTCTATTCCAATCTGCACCTGCTGAGAATTTGAGTCTATTTTAGCACCAATCTTGGGGTTCTTGTTTGACTCTACTCTTAGCCAACACCACAGAGTCTAAAATTGGATCTGAATCCAGTATTTGCCATCCAGTGACAGACATAGACTAGGCTCTTTATAAATGTTTCATGAATTGACCTGAATCCCTACATTGATTCATTATCTTATTGTCCATTGGGAAGGAAGACTTACTTAGCTAGGAGTAACAATTCCCAAATTTGCCCTAGTTGCAAAATTTTTTTACTGAGGGCACATACAAGTTAGGATCACTCCTGAAAGTAAGGAAACACAGATAGCACTCACTTCATGATCCTAACACAGTCAGGGTATACAGATGTATTTGTGTGCATACTTCAAAAAAAAAGTCGTTTCTATTTGGTTTTGGAATCAACGTTTGAATTTGTCTCAACTTGTTAAGAATTTACAAGTTCTATTTAAAGATATCTGGGCTAGAAACCAGAACCACTTGTGTTTAAATACTATTGCTATTCTGTACACAGCTCAAGGTTTTGGTATTTTCTCTTAAGCATTCCTCTTCTCCCCTTCCACAAAAAAAAAAAAAAGGAATTGTGCCACATTAGTTGGTTTCTATGAGGATTCAGTTTCTATAAGATTCCAGGCAGAAGAAATATCCATTTATATATTAAAAGGTAAAAATAATTATTTGCTAAGCTTGAGATTTTATGTAGAAAATCTACATAAGGATTTTTTTAAATAGACTTTTTTCTGAATTACCCAGAATTCTTGAAATTTTTCTCAAACGGATTCCATTGTTAGCTAATACATAGGGACTTAACTGGTTTATTTTTGCTAACATTGATAGACCAACTCTTAGAATTATTTAATGGCCCCAAACTTGGATGAAACATCAATTTCCAGATACTCTTCAAATATCCAATGCAGAATTATCACAGAGTATATGTTTTATCCGTGCTACCATTAGCTTGCTATTAACATGAATTTTCTTTTACTCATTTTTCACTCAAGAAATCTTACTGCAGGATAAAATTGTCAAGTAAGGAAGTTGATAAATAAGAAAACTAGTTATGTGAAATAATATTAAATTGTTAATTTGCTTTAAGGAGATGTTGTTCACTAATTATTTTTTGTACAAAAATGAACTTCCAGTCAGAAACTAGAATTTGCTAAAAACTTTGTTTAGTATGTTAGTGAATAATGCCAGCTGTACATGAACTGACAACTATCTGATGTACGTGTTGCTATTCTTCCTTTATTTTAGGTGTGGAAATTAAAACAACACACATATTTTGACTGGTGCTTTAATCAAGCAAATGCTAAAAAGGTATATTTATAGTATTTATAAAGTATCTAAACATTGTTATTACAGAATTTAAACCGTTTTCCTTTCTTTAACCAGGGATCACTTAAACCAGTCAGAGGAACAAGGCACAATACAAAAGACAGCAGTGTGACAATCATTTCTGTTACTAAATATTCACCTGCTCTTTTCTGTGCCTTCTTCCTGAGAGCCTCATTCCTGTCTGTTCAACTTACATCCATTAACTCATGTAGATATAGGTTTCAGTCATTATGTTCCTTTGGAAAGAACCTTTTCCTACTTATTTTGTCTAGAAATTCCTGCTTAGTTTACTTTTTCCTGATAGGAATAATTCTACTGTGATCTTTGCAAAAATGTTATAATGGTTCAATCTGTATTTTGTTTGCTTGATTATGCATTATGAGTTCATTTTGATCAATCTTGAACCTATGTTAGACACTGTACTTTGAGATATGATACCATTTTTGTTTACATTTTTAACCATTACTGATTAAAATAAAACACTTGATTGTATAAAATGGGAAGGCAAAAGCTAGTAATTTACATCTGGAAGCCCAAAAGATATATCCTGAATGCGTCTCACACTCCTAAGATGCCCTGGTGCAAATCACTTACACATAGGAAATGTTTACATTTGGTGCACTTGTGGAGACTGGTAATGGGAGAGTTCTCAGTCCAGAGAAAGTCAAGATGCCCAGCCAGGAGGCAGCAGGCTAAGGCTGTTTGGAAAGATGCAAGAGAGAGTCTCTCTTACATACAGAGCAGTGAACAAATATCTCATTGCTCTTGAAGACTGTGTAATACAAAGTGATTTTATAGGCGTTCTAATCCAGGATTTCCCATTTTTTATGGGGTAAAAGTAGTGGAGAGGAAGACCTCTTTGGTCAGTAAACAAATCAAGGAGCAAACTCTGAAAATAGGGGCAGAAACTTGATATTGATACAAAGTTAATTGATCAGTTGATACAAAGATTAATTTGTATCAATACAAAGTTTAATCAACTTTATATTAATACTTAACTTACAATCCCCAAATTTATCTAACAAATACTAGACAGAGTAAGATCATTGAATACAGAAAACGAAGTATACTTTCATATATGTTTTCCTACTTGTCCATTCTAACCAAAGGGAAATTCTTAGTTCTTACAATGTGCTATTTTGTTTTGTATTCTGAACAAATTTTCATTTAAACATTGAGAAAATGAAAATGTATGCAGGAAGAACCTCATAATTTTTGTCATTGTTAATACCAATAATTGTATCACTAGTCAAAGTCACAACCACTTGTGTGAATTTTTTGAACCTGATATGTAATAAGAATTTAAATTAGATAAGCCAGAATGAATAATAGAATTTAAATTAGATAAGCCGGTTTTTGATTTGGGTACCTGACTTGTGGCTAATTCAACCATAATTTGAATCTAGATTAGTAAGACATTAAGATTAAAATATGAGTTATAGTCCATGTCGTCACAGTTTATCATAATTGAAATGTTCCGTTTTTTAAGTACTTGTGATATTACATACATTGAACTTTCTGAAGTTTGAAAAACAACAAAAAATTGACATTCAGGCACAGTAGTGGTCTATCTTGCCATGGGGGATAGATTTCTGTTTATAGAACTGTTATTGAGATAACTTCAAATTAAAAGCGTATTTGTTAGAGATGCTGCTGTTCGCGTGTGGGAGCCTGGAATTTGAAAGTCATTCTGTGCATTATAAATGGAGTTTTAAATGTGAAGCTGTGTGTGTGCATGCATCCAGGCACGCACACATATACATGGGCACTCTGACCCAAGCTGGATGATCAGTAATGAGGCAAATATGACTTCTCTGAGTAATCAGAAAAGTCTTAAAAGAGATGGGAAGAAATCCCTTTTTTTAGTGAGTGATAATAAAACTGAAAACTAATAAAATATTTTAAACTCTGATATATTTTTATTCATTTAGGTATTAAAATTAACAAAAGGAAATAGAGCTTTTATTTTCTTCTCAGGCAACTCTGTTACCTAAAATCTGCAAAACGTAATTGGATTAAAGTCAAACATCTAACTTGTTTGGACCATAACATATATGTAGCAGAAAATATTTTCTCAAATTTAAGAGAAACTAATTTTCCTAAGTTTGTGGGAGTTACTTTGTTGACATTTATTCCAAAACCAGCCATTAGTGAGCCTTGTCATATGTTACCTTTACCTTTATGTGTGTTCATTTAAATAGGCCTTCTCCATGAACTTCCATTGCCGTTAACTATTGTATTACATCACAAAGCTTTGTTATGTGTTTAGAAAATGCATGGATATTTGCACATTTGAAATTTTCTGATTTCTTTTTTTAACTTACAAATGAGAGTGGCTGGGCGTGGTGGCTCACGCCTGTAATCCCAACCTTTGGCAGGCTGAGGCAGGTGGGCTCACTTGAGGTCAGGAGTTCGAGACGAGCCTGGCCAACATAGTGAAACCCCATCTCTTCTAAAAATACAAACATTAGCCAGGCATGGTGGCGTGTGTCTGTAGTCCCAGCTACTCAGACAGCTGAGGCAGAATAGCTTGAAACTGGGAGGTAGAGGTTGCAATGAGCCAAGATTGTGCCACTACAGTCCAGCCTGGGCAAGACTCCATCTGAAAAAAACAAAAACCGAAAAAGATATCAACATAGTGCCTTTGACTCTCCACCCTAGTGATTTCAATTGAAAATAATATTTATTTTACTTTAGTCTTTCTTCCATTTGACTGATAAAATTGCTTGGATTTTTTTGACTTTACCTGCACAACTCGGGGATAGACAGAGAAACAGAAAATGTCCTGGATAGCATGCAAGCATTTAGGTGTCCTTCAGATGTTGTTAGAGCCAGGTATTTTCCCCGAATGATCAGAATAACCTGGTGTACATCTGCCCAGAGAAAATCTTATCACCTAGACTTCAGGAAGGTTAAGTGCTAATAGATTGGAAGAGATTTTTTAAAATGTAATAGACGTTTAAGGAGGAACTAGGCTGTGTGTACCTATGTGACATATTGTCCGTGCTGCCTTATGTTATTATTTATCTTGTTTGAATATGTTTTTTGCAACTCTATTTAATAAAAAAATAGCCGGGAACAGTGGCTCCCACTTGTAATCCCAGCACTTAGGGAGGCCGAGGTGGGCGGATCATGAGGTCAAGAGATCGAGACCATCCTGGCCAATATGGTGAAACCCCATCTCTACTAAAATACAAAAAATTATCCAGGCATGGTGGCACATGCCTATAGTCCCAGGAGGCTGAGGCAGGGGAATCTCTTGAACCCGGGAAGTGGAGGTTGCAGTGAGCCAAGATCACGCTACTGCACTCTAGCCTGGCGACAGAGCAAGACTCCGTCTCAAAACAAAACAAAACAGGCTGGGCGGAGTGACATGCCTTCAATCCCAGCACTTTGGGAGGCCGAGGCGGGAGAATCTCTTGAGCATAGGAGTTCAAGACCAGCCTAGCCAACACGGCAAAACCTGTCTCTACTAAAAAATATATAAAAATTAGCCAGGCATGGTGGCATGTACCTGTAATCCCAGAGACACAAGAATTGCTTGAACCCGGGAGGCAGAGGTTGCAGTGAGTCAAGGTCATGCCACTGCACTCCAATCTAGCCTGGGTGACAAAAGGAGATCCTGTCTCAAAAAAGCAAAAACAAAAAACTCCCGTAGCAGTATCTTACATCTTACATCTCTGTAAACCCTAGGCCTAGTATAGTAGCTTGACAATAGTGGGCATATAATAAATATTTGTTGATGATGATGATGGTAGAAGCTACAATATTAAGTAAATTCAGTGAGAGAATTCATGAAAGTTGGAAGTATCTAGTGAGTATTGGAGCTAGGATATGTGGGGCATTACAGTGATTAAGGAGAGGATGGAGATAAATAAGAACATGAAAAAGAAGAGACTGCCGTATATCAGATAATGAGTTGCTTTTTGATTTTGATAGTACATATTTTAGTTCTCTTTGTGTCACTTGACTTAAAAAGTGGGGTACAATTTAATATGTGACAGGGTACACAAAATATAGTCTTAAGATTGTTAACTTTCAAGTCTCAGTTTTATTTGTGGCTTGCAAATGTAGGACGGCATCTGACTTTTTGGATTACATTGTCTCTGATATCCTTTAGTTGCTTTCTTTTTGCTGCCATACTCAGGCCTGAATGTCTGACCTGAAATATTTCAAGAAGCTGGGTATGTTAGAAGGGATGTGTGTGAAATTTTCAGGGTGTGGCAATAGATGAGAGTTACTATGAGTGGTCTTAAACCAACTACTCACACATTCTGAATCACTTATCAACTTCTGGAGATGTGGAAAGAGAGAAGAAGAATCACCTTAAAATTAATGTTAGAGAGAATTGCACGAGACGCCGTGGCTTATGCCTATAATCCCAGCACTCTGGGAGGCCAAGGTAGGCAGATCCCTTGAGGCCAGGAGTTTAAGACCAGCCTGGGCAACATGACAAAACCCCATCTCTACCAAAAATGCAAAAATTAGCTGGGCGTGGTGGTGCGCGCCTGTAGTCCCAGCTACTCAGGAGGCTGAGACAGGAGAATCAATTGAACCCAGGAGCTGGAGGTTGCAGTGAGCCAGGATCGCGCCATTGTACTCCAACCTGGGTGACAGAGTGAGACCTTGTCTCCAAAAGAAGGTGCAGAGAAAGAGAGAATTGATGGCTATAGCTGAGTGCCTCTATTCATCAGTTACTTGCTGTTAGTCATTTTTGAGGGGGTTTTGGGATGTGAAAGGGAACGGGACCTAGATAACATGCATGAACATTTTTTAAATGAATACTACATTTTATAATAGAAATTTTGGTGGAAAATGAAGATAAATAAATCACGTGACATTTTGGCATATGTACATCTTATCCCTAGATTCACCGATACATTATTTTTTTCTGTTGGCATATGTTTTGTGATCTGCTTTTTCACTTACTGTGTGGTTACTACTTCCCCATGTCATTAAATAATCTATATAATTTTTAATGACTGCATAAACTGTGTTCTATCCAGAAGATGTACTGTGGTTTAACCAGTCCCCTCCTATAGGGCATTTAGGTTGCTTTTAGTATTTTGTATTAATACGACATTGGGCATCTGTATAGATCAACCTTGCCACATAATTCTGATTATTTCCTTAGGAGAGAGTGCTAAAAAAAAAAAATAGACTTGCTGGTCAAACAATATACATATCTTTAAAGAGTATTGATAGATACAGCTAAATTTCTCTCTAGGAATTATTTATTAAGATAATAATTATTTGGCCAGCCATGGTGGCTCATTACTTTGAGAGGCTGAGGTGAGAGAATCCCTTGAGGCTAGGAGTTCAAGATCCCATCTCTACAAAAAGTAAAAAAAAATAGCCAGGCATGGTGGTATGCACACATAGTCACAGCTACTCACAGCTTTTCACAGCTGAGGCAGGAAAATCACTTGAGCCTAGGAGTCTGAGGTTACAATGAGCTATGATCATGTCGCTTTACTCCAACCTTGGTGACAGAGTGAGACCCTGTCCTTTCAGCTAAAAAAGGGGAGCTTAAGGAGTACTATTGCAAATTACCCCTGATGTTCTAGTTGTACAAATGCGAATTTTTATCAGTTTTTATTAACATGAGATAGTGCTGTGTACCTATGTGAAATATATTGATTATGTGATTTTGTTGTAGTGTTTCTATCAAAATGAAATTTTGCAATTTGAATACTGAATTTTTTGCACATTGAAATGTTTTCCTTTGGTTTTTTACTTTTAGCCATATAAAGAAGATCCCTAACAGTCATTTCTCAACAATTATATAGTCAACTGATGTAACAATGGTACTAATATTGGGACGCAGACTAAACAGAGAGGATCTTGGGGTGCGTGATTCCCCAGCAACGAAGCGTAAAGTTTTTGAAATGGACCCCAAATCTCTGACAGGTCATGAGTTTTTTGACTTCTCTTCAGGATCATCCCATGCTGAAAACATACTCCAGATATTTAATGAATTTCGAGATAGCCGCTTATTCACAGATGTTATCATTTGTGTGGAAGGAAAAGAGTTTCCTTGCCATAGAGCTGTGCTCTCAGCCTGTAGTAGCTACTTCAGAGCTATGTTTTGTAACGACCACAGGGAAAGCCGAGAAATGTTGGTTGAGATCAATGGTATTTTAGCTGAAGCTATGGAATGTTTTTTGCAGTATGTTTATACTGGAAAAGTGAAGATCACTACAGAGAATGTACAATATCTCTTTGAGACATCGAGCCTCTTTCAGATTAGTGTTCTCCGTGATGCATGTGCCAAGTTTTTAGAGGAGCAGCTTGATCCTTGTAATTGCTTAGGAATCCAGCGCTTTGCTGATACCCATTCTCTCAAAACACTCTTCACAAAATGCAAAACTTTTGCATTACAGACTTTTGAGGATGTGTCGCAGCATGAAGAATTTCTTGAGCTTGACAAAGATGAACTTATTGATTATATTTGTAGTGATGAACTTGTTATTGGTAAAGAGGAGATGGTTTTTGAAGCCGTCATGCGTTGGGTCTATCGTGCCGTTGATCTGAGAAGACCACTGTTACATGAGCTCCTGACACATGTGAGACTCCCTCTGCTGCATCCCAACTACTTTGTTCAAACAGTTGAAGTGGACCAATTGATCCAGAATTCTCCCGAGTGTTATCAGTTGTTGCATGAAGCAAGGCGGTACCACATACTTGGGAATGAAATGATGTCCCCAAGGACAAGGCCACGCAGGTGAGAAGACTGTTTTCAAATATCGTTAGCAAAAGTTTTTAATACATCTTTAAACCTCCTGAATACAATCTCAATGTAGTATGCACTGTCTACCTGTGGCTTTATATAATTTTAGATTTATTTTGGATTGTGTAAATGTCTCCTAATGAATTCTACATTCAACAGTAGCATTTTTTTTGTTATTGTCGTTCTGTGCTATCAAACAGTGTAGCAAAGGGTCTTTGCAACTGTGCATATCTCAACATGTTTCTACAAATTTCTCCTAACTTTTGTAGGGCCCCAAACCATTTCACTTTTCTTTCCAAAGAGTCTTTGGATACAGGGTAGCTAAGACTTTAGTAGGCCCTCTTAGACTGCCTCTACTTAAAAAATCAATTTGCTCCTGGGCACAGGGGCTCACACCTGTAATCCCAGTACTTTAGGAGGCCAAAGTGGTAGAGTACTTGAGCTCAGGAGTTCAAGACTAGCCTGGGCACCATAGCAACACCTCATCTCTACTAAAAATAATTAGCCAGGCATGGTGGCACGTACCTGTAGTCCCAGTTCCTCGGGAGGCTGAGGTGGGAGGATTGCTTGAGCCCAGGAGTTTGAGGCTGCTGCGAGCCATGCTCTTACTGCTTTCCAGCCTGGGCAACAGGGTGAAAGTCTGTCCCCCCCCCCTAAAAAAAAAACATGTTTGCACATCTGTAGACTGACCTTTGTCCTAACACAGAAGCATGAAATATAGAGGTGAAGTAAATGAGCTGGTATACATTGAATGAATTCTCAAATGTAAAATCCAGGCCTCAAATCTTATTTAATTGCCACAGTTACTATATTTAATGTCAATCTCAATTTTAAAATATTTTTTCTGAATGTGAAAATTGCCATTACAGAGAATTTGGAAAATGTGTTTGGGGGTAGAATGCAGTTAAATAGTGTAGTATATTTGTGCCTTCTTATATTATTTCTATAAGACACCTATAGATTTAAATTCATAAACTATAGAAAAATAATTTTCATGCCTTAATAGTGGAAGGAATACTGTTAATTGTACTTTATTGTGAATAAGCAAAAAATGCCTGTTGAGAAATATTACAGTAAATTATCCTTTTAATATTTTTCTAACAAAGGTAATGATGGTGTTGATTTTTTTTAAATTGTGGTAAAAAATAACAAATTTTACTGTCTTAATCATTTTTAATTATACAGTTCAGTAATGTTGAGTATATTCACATTGTTGTGATATTAGTATTTTTATTAGTTTATTGGTTTATTATTAAGCCATCTCCATTTTTTTCTGTAAATTTACTATAGCATAGCTCACAAACCACATTTTTACCTTAAATTTTGACTATCAATCATTTTTTTGGAATGTGATTAAAATTCAGCATATTGTGAGATAGCTTGTTTTTAAAATTTATACTAGTTTCAATATAGTAAGATTTAATATATTTCCTCATACATAAAATGAGAATGATGATAAACTATTTATATCACAGATTTTGCCACTGAAACTATTAAATGTGATAATTCTTACCCACCAGCATAATGCTTGGCACACTGAAAGTGCTTAATGATTATTAGCTATTATTATTTTTAGCTATTATTATTTATACAGTATAATGTAGGCCTGCCCCACTTTAAGAAAACTCCAGTACCTGAAAGTCTGAACTTTCTATAAACTATACTGTTGGATAACTATTATTACAAAAAACATAATATTTATTTGTAAACGTAAGAGGACTTTTTTTCTTCAAAGTTAGTTGACTTTAGTTAAAATTAATTGTTTTAAAAGAAATAAATATGTAAAACATTTTTATTCCTAGTCTTTTAACAAAGGACAGAAAACATAAAATCTCCATCTATAAATATACTGATTTTAAGTTCTTTTTTTTTTTTCTTTAAGGATCATTAAGACCCTGAGCTGAGCTTAATTAAGAAAACTAAACAGCTTCAGAGCTGTGTGATTATTAGCTCTTCAAGAACTTTGTGGACACACAGTATCCCTCTAAAGGAAAAATCACTCCTTTTTCCAAGACAAATGCCCCTGTAACAGACAAAATGGCCTGAGGTCAGGTGGGGCTAGTAACACGCAGCCTGCAGAGTAGGAACCAAGGATTATATGTTGTAAAATCAAGATAAGTCATTTCTTACTAATCTTTGTAAAGACATAACCTGAATGCAATCAGATTGCAGCCTAAGGGATCCATCACTCCTTTAAAGAGGCACTTGTCCTAATTTACTGAATTATTTGATTTCCGAAAATGTATTTTATACCCGGTTTTTCAGGGAACAAATCTATTTCCACAGTGAAACATCTGTTTATAAATTGCAGTATCACCTTTCTTTAGGAGACAAGTATAAAAATCAAACTATAGATAACTGAATTTACAGACTTAAAAATATAAGAGCAGATATTTATTTTATGTGGGCATTACATGAGGGATCCTTTATTTTATAACTCTGCCATCACCTTCTGTCCCTTAGATCTATCTTTCACTTATCTGTTACTGCATGTTAGCATTAATCACTAGGAATTTCATTATCTGAACAATGTGTATTATTTGTACAGGTTCTCGTCTTTCTGAGAAACTCCAAACTTCTTTGAAAGAGGAGTGATGTCTCCACTTCTTCAACAGCAGTTCATTCCTCTGACTTCTGCTCCAGTCACCTCTACTGAAACTCCTCTCAATCAGGTCATCACTGACCTTCTATTTGTTATTTGCTGGCCTCTCTTCAGTCTTTATCCAGCTTGAGCTCTTTCGAATTTGATGTTATTAGTTGCCTTATACATCTTGAAGTACCTCCATTGGCTTCTAGAATGCCATTTCCCTCATGGTCCTCCTATTTCTCTAGTTACTCTTTTTCAACTTAATTGTTCTTACTCCTACATCTAGTCTGAAATATTATCTGCATGATTCACATCTCTTTGTCTTCCCTTATGTACTTGCCTAGGTGACCTTATCTCATCTATTTTCATGGTTTTAATTACCATGCATGCTGTTGACTACCAAACCAGCCCAGAATCTTCTCTTTCATTCATTCATATTTCTTTTTCAAATTTTATATGTTTTATTTATTTTTTATTATAGGTGTATATTTCTTTTTAAATTTTTACATGTGTTTTTTACTTGACTGTGCATCTTTTCAAAATAACAGGCAAAATAACATTAGCACACTTAATGATAATTCATCGCATCTAATACCCAATCCGTTTTCAGACCCCCCCAGTCTTCCAAACTGCACTTTAATAGGCCTGGATCCAGTCTGGGATTACTCATTATATCCGGTTATTTCTATGAAATCTCTTTTACTTCAAAACAGTTTCTTTTTCATGATTCTGATTTGTCAATGGGGAAATTGTCCAGAAAAATATTCTACCTTTTGGATCAGTCTCATTGCTTCCTTCTGGCATCATTTAGCTGTGTTTCCTGCAAACTGGAAGTTGGCTCCACGAGCTTCAGTTTGATGAATATAAGTTAAATATTTATAGCTAGAATTAATCCTATGTAATGTGTATATTATATTGCATCAGATTAGGAGTCACAGCGTATCTGGGTGTCCCACCATTACTGATGCAGAGATGAACTCTGGTTTAGGGTGGTGGCAGTCTAATCCCTCCAATGTACAGTTAAGTTATACTCTCCATATCAGCCAGTGGTCCTTTAATATCTGTTCTGTGCCAAGTATTGTCTAGAGCTCAACCCATCATAGAAATTCTCCCTGTATACTCACATGTCTCTTAGATGACAGAGAAAGCCCGAAAACTCATATTAAAAACAGTGTGGTGGTATTTTCCCAGAAAGAGGAATAGGCCAATTTAAGAGCATGAAAGCTTTGATAATCCGCCCTGCCAGTTGTAAACCCTTAGATGTGTGGAAAAAATAGTAGAGACTAATCACAGAAGGAGTAAAGCATAGAAACAGTGGTTGTAGGCCAGGCGCAGTGGCTCACACGTGTAATCAAGCACTTTGGGAGTCTGAGGCACAAGGATTACTTGGCCCAAAAGTTCAAGACCAGCTTGGGCGACATAATGACACTCTGTTAATACAGAAAAAATAAAAGCTAGCCAGGCATTGTGGCATGCACCTGTAGTCCCAACTACTTGGGAGGCTGAGGCAGGAGGATTACTTGAGCCTAGGATTTTGAGGTTACGGTGAGCAGGCCACTGCATTCTAGCCTGGGCAGCAGAGCAATACCCTGACTCAAAAAAAATTCATTAATTAAAAATTTTAAAATAGACACTCTTCAAAAATAATCACACTATATAAGACTACACTACATCCTCTGCCTTTATTCAGAGTACCCTTAGCTTTTTTTTTTTTCTGAGACAGGGTCTCACTCTGTCACCCAGACTGGAGTGTAGTGGCACCATCATGGCTCACTGCTGCCTCCACTTCCTAGGCTTGGGTGATTCTTCCACCTAAGGCTCCCAAGTAGCTGGGACTACAGGCATGCATCACCATCCCCGGCTTATTTTTTGTAGAAATGAGGTTTCCCATATTGCTCAGGCTGGTCCCTGACTCCTGGGCTCAAGAGATCCTCCCACCTCAGCTTCCCAAAGTGCTAGGATTGCAGGCATGAGTCACTATGCCAGGCTGCCCTTAGCATTCTTAATTTCCTCTCTTTCCTCCTCTCTTCCTTTGGCCCTCTTCCTGAGTCCCCAGCATGATTTGGAAACTTGTTTCTAGGTCAAAAATTTAATCTTAGTGTGGAAAACATTTGAGGTAAAAAGAGTTCATATTAATACGTATATGCATATTTGGGCTCAGGAGTACTTTTGAACTCTATAGAGAATTAATATGGTAGCTAACTTAAGCAGGTCTTAAATTTCACCTAATAAATCTTTGAGTTACTTTTATGTACCATCTCAGTATGCCAAGTGCTAGGCTTCAACCCTGTTCATCTGGAGAAAAGGAACTTACTTTTCTGCTTGTGATGGGCCTCTCTGCCCCACCCTCATCCCAACTCATGAACCAACTATGATATTTATGGCCTCTGACTGATGTTTCACATTC